TGCTGTAGAGGATAATGAATAGTGGAAATAAACATGCTATTCGAACTGCTGCAGCAAATACTGAATAGTGGAAATAGACGATGCTATTCACACTACTGCAGCAAATACTGAATAGTTGAAATAGACATGCTATTCGAACTGCTGCAGCAAACACTGAATAGTGAAAATAAACATACTATTCAAACTGCTGTAGAGGATAATGAATAGTGGAAATAATCATGCTATTCACACTGCTGCAGCAAATACTGAATAGTGGAAATAGACATGTTATTCACACTGCTGCAGCAAATACTGAATAGTTGAAATAGACATGCTATTCGAACTGCTGCAGCAAACACTGAATAGTGAAAATAAACATACTATTCAAACTGCTGTAGAGGATAATGAATAGTGGAAATAAACATGCTATTCGAACTGCTGCAGCAAATACTGAATAGTGGAAATAGACGATGCTATTCACACTACTGCAGCAAATACTGAATAGTGGAAATAAACATGCTATTCAAACTGCTGCAGCAAATACTGAATAGTGGAAATAATCATGTTATTCACACTGCTGCAGCAAATACTGAATAGTGGATATGACATGCTATTCGAATTGCTGCAACAAATATTGAATAGTGGAAATAGACATGCTATAATGTGAAGAGTTGAAACAGGCATACTATTTGCACTGCTGTGGGCGAATACCCACTGTCTCACAAAAAAACAGAAACCATCTCGAGTCAATCATGTACCAACAAATTTTCATAATCGCAAATCATTTTTCAAATGAAAATGATTGTACTGGTGATTTCAATAATACCATTTTCTGCTTTTGTATCATGTATGGAAGCGCAATTATAATTCAAGAAGCCCCTAAATGAGCCTCTCTGTTTAGTTGCAAAATTTAAATACTACAGCGTCTGCATCACTCAAAAATAATGTGACCCGGCAGTGTGTGCGAATTCGTGGAGTCCAGCGGATGATATACGTGTACTGTTCATCCGTATCTAAGAGACGAGTGGGTGAATCTGACCTACGCATAGTGAATGTTTGGTGTACGTGGACGTAGATGACAACGTCAACAAAAATATCGCCGAGAAGCTACATACGTTAAATCGGGACACGTCACCTCACTCAGCCGACCCGGTGTTTTTTTTCTGTATGTACCATTACGTAGATATCGTCTTACTCACCTGCACGTAGTTTTTCCCACACCTCCCTTTCCTCCGACAAACACCCATCTCAGTGTCGTCTGATCTAAGACATTTCTCAAAGAGGCTCAAGAGGCTCAAATTCACCATCGCTGACTGCATTACTGGAGGCTGCCATTTTGGAAACGAGTTCGGAAGCTTTACGCGAGCTCCAGGCTCGTTCCTGCTTGATTTGTCGAAGAAATTGGAAAGTTTAAATACAATCAAATCTAACACTCAGTTCTTTTATATATTCTCGTAGAATAATTTAAAAGCATATTTTAATTGTATATGTTAATTCTTTATATTGTGAATAAGGAGTTATTACGCAATGGTTTCATCAGCTCTGGTTTGAGGAATACCGGATCACGCATGCGTTGCAATACGTCTGTATGTCCCTATGCACCCTATGATCAAGCCAGCCCCAAATCGACGAAGTCGTCGAAGTTTTCCGTGATGAGCAGTCAAGTGCAGGACCTTCCTACCAGCAGACTTGCCAGGATTCGATGCCTTCAAGAATGTATCGAATGTTTCAGGGATAACAAATCACTGCCAGATTCGCTTTGCTTCGTTTCCGCTGAATTAGTTTACAAATGGAACTCGAGTTCGAGCAACAAGCTTGTTGTGTACTCTCAGCCGAGTAAAAACAGTAAGAAATGCGGCGAGATCTGCCTTAACGAATCGGTCAGGGTGCACGTAAGTGGCGAGGAGTACTGTAATAACCAGGGACAATGGCTGCAGCTTACAAAGGTATATATCTTTCAAGTTAGCATATCCGATTTATGGTTTACATTATGAAAGTGACTGCCCGTAAATAACGGATATCACTTCCTGGTTGCACGGGGCTATTCGTCACGTTTTCTTAGAATGGTCGGTCCATTTTGCGTGTAAAACTCAAATAGTGAGGCGACATACCAGTTTTCGAAAGAGTTGAACCTGATAAACGCCAACATTAATTAATTTTCATATAAATGAGTAACATATTATTGAGCATGCACGTGCGATTTTCGTGCGAAATTGAAACTAAATGTCAGATCACAACATGCAGGGAGGCAATCCCCGATAAGACTTACATGTAAGAGATTTAAGAGTTAACATTTGGCCAATTACAGTAATTTAATGCGTCTTGGCTTTAGGATTATGGAAAGTTGTAAGGTTGGTATGCTGTACCCTAAACCTAATGCCAATGTGAGTATTTCTTTAAATAGACCTTCAATCTTCAAATTTCTTTTTAGCAATTGCCATGCAAGTACCAATATTCTAATGATATGAAGGACTGTGATTTGCTGCAGTTTTATCAGCTCTGGTTGGCCTATGTTGCACAATGTTACAGAAAAGGAAATAGTTGCAGGTCTACACATAAAGTAAATCGTGGGAGCACTAAATATTCACAATGTTAATCTATATGATGTCATCCAATTCTAAGCTAACAAAGGGTACATATACATGTACAGTCAAACCTCGATTATCCAAACACAGTGGGCGGTGACATATTTGTTCGGTTAATTGATTGTTCGGATGAACGATCCGAATGTAAAATTAACATAAAATGAAGGACAATAGAGTGTACGTTGATTTCATGTTTTATTGATACATGTACATTACATTTAATTAATGTGTATTACAATTCTACATTGTAAATATTAATAAAAAATCGTTGTTAACGAACATTTTTGTTAATTATTACGTTTGTAAAATAAATAAATAAATAAATAATACGTGTCCACGAAGAAAATGTGAGAGTCGACTTTTGTCAATATTGTTTCAGTTTCAGTCCGTGCAAAATGTTCGTAAATGTTACCCAAAGAAATGATCCAGGCGCTGTTGTTTCACTTTCTGTTTTTTTGATTTTGCGAATGAAAGCATTTGTCGTAACTGCATCAGTTTCACTGCATCGATGTCCTCTTGACCTTCATACCAGTCAATAAAAAGTTGCATTCCGTCGATTGCGTCAGTCACTGGAACTGCTGGTGTTGGTGCGTTGGGCGGCATGTTTTTCTTTTTCGTTGTTGTCACTTTCAATGTCGTCTTTTTGATTTTCGGCTACAGTCTTTACAATCTCGTCCTCAGTGAAAGTCTCTGACCCAGTGTCGTTGTCACAGTTGATCCATGCATCAAGTTCGTTCTCGGCAATGACTCCTAATCCTAGATCACCGCCGGTACAAATTCGTTCAGAAACCACGATGAAAATAAATCATAAGTTATCCAAGCCTTATTTTGAGATTTATATTTCACTGGAAATGAATTCTTGTCACAGTTTTTAAAACGGCGTGGATTAGCATAACGCCCTGATGT